GTCATCATATTAAAGTTTTTCTTCATTACCCATTCAAGCCGTCTCCAACCATTATAGCTTGTACTGTTTGGTGAAATATTAATGCTGAACAGACATTTTCGCTTATATTATTTATGAAGCAAAATATTAAACTGTATACCTAGGAATTATACATATATTCAACATTATGAAAACAGAAATATTCTATAACAGTTCTACAAGTGTTATTCAAGCAAATATACAACTCTGTAAAGTAAAGAATACGAAGTCTCGTTAAACCCAATATTATATCCTGCCACGAAGTGAAATATCAAGCAATGAGCAGTTTTTAGCATATTTAAGTCTGCAATAGGGATTATCCCCTAAGGAAGCTTTACATAATTCTTTTTAGGTGGGGAATTTTAATTGGAATAAATTAGTGATAATCCAAATATAAAAACTATAGTATTTGATCTTACTTTGCCCCCTAGTGGCACAGCGTTATGTCTGTATATTTACAACGCTAGAAACCGGGTTTCGATACCCGTGGTGGGCAGAGCATTGATAGCCTATTGTGTAGCTTTGTGATGAACTTCAAACAAACGATCTCATTTTTTTTTTTTTACAAAGTAGAAAATAATTCACGTGTTTTTAGTGTGTGTGGCACAGAACAAAGAATACAAGATTACTACTCCATACGTCATGATACTGATCTTGTATCATACTCCATACGTCATGATACTGATCTTGTATCATACTAGTGTGAGCGTGGTACATTGACTTTTATATCAGGAGCGTCATTTTTACAAAAGGCTTAGTAGGGAGAAGGCATAGAAGACTGACCTCACGTGCTCTTACGTGCCCTTCTCCCCCCCCCCCCACCCCCCAGTTCAGCTGGGGCCTTACGCTATGGCGTTATTGGCGTAGCTTTGTTTATACGTTCTTACTAAAAATGTTCCACGGAAACTGCCATTTGAGGTTTCCTTCCGAACTTGAAGGGGTGGACGCCGGCCCCCAAATGACGCCCCTGTTTTAATTGGACGATTTAATGCTTTTGCCATGAACTAGGGTGGCAACATTGTTAGCTTTACGCATTAAAAAGCAGCACACTTTCAGGTCCTCTTTATGGTGCTGGAACAAACACAGATGATTGCCTTTTGCAGTTTCCATTCTGTGCAGAGTTGTGGTGTCATCGCTTTTAAGATTAGTGAATGCTAAGTGGTGAAGCTGCTTCTAATAATGTAAGTGATAAATATTGTTTCTGGAGAAAAATATGAAACGATTATTATTGCAAGCGATATACTTTCTTCTCCCAGTGTACAGAAATATTGGTTCGGATATATCTATGTTTCATTTTCTGTACGGAGTTCAGATGGCGTGCAACGGAGTCGGGTTGACTTCAGTGTTGCGATTTATATTTCCTTGTTGATATATTGATAATCGTACAATACGATCACATTCTCTAGCAGAGTTATCGGACCCTCCGTCTTTCCTATTTACAGCCGTTCAGAACCCCCAGGCCAGTCGGTAACAGCCGTATTTACACCGGCGACAACTCGCTCGCCTCGTCGTGTTCCGGCTTCGGGCTCTGGGTCCGGGTAGACCTTGCCGGTCCGCACGGGGGACGCCGAGGTGCATTCCACCGAAGGACGCATGGTCGGGTGGACGTCCTTGAAGAAACGTCACATAGGCAACATGCCAGGGTGCCGCTGGCCCTTGAGCGTTACTTGTTCATTGGTCCATTGTCGGGGAAATTTGAACTGTCTTCCAATGGCAAGGACGGAGACTGCGATGTCAGGGAACTGTGCGGACACCACGTGCTGCTGATAATTGATATTCCATCAGCGAATCTCTTCTATCCAAAACTTGTTGAACAGATTAGACGAGGCTATAGAAGAACGACGCCTTGGAGCCTGACCAGCTGGCATGCCAGGTTATTTGCAGAACGTAGATGTTGTAGGTGGCTATAGGACCAGTCCGTGACTTTCGCGTGCACTTACGTGGCCAACCATTCAAGGTGTTCACTTTTATCTTGGTCTTTATTATCAGTGGTCCCTGAATTTCAAAAACGTCCTCTGGAAAATTTACTACTCAGTCCTCCAGTGAAACAATAGTATTTTGAGTGAAAACGTGAAGTGATCAGGTGTGTTGAAAAGTTTATATTGGCTGAAACGTTGAAGGAGTGCTTCTAAAACCACTGACGTGGTATTAAGTTCTACCTAGACGTTAAGTCCGATAAGAGTCTAGAACCACAAAAGAGCTCTGCACGGTTTAGTGTGGATAACACTCTTCATAAGCGTCCTGATAAGCGATCTGGAGCAGCTCCAAAGTCCCAAGAGTGTTAAGGATAGCTTTCACTTCAGGTGTATACTAAACGTTTTGTAAAAACTATTTAGCGATTAATGAAAGTTTGTGATAACACATAGTGATTATATTCTGGTAAGGCTAACATATATAGGATCTTAATACAAGTATATAATTATGAAATACTGCAAGCTTATCGAAAACAATTAGTAATATTCAATATTTAATCGTGAGAAAATTTTTGCTTAAAGTAGCAACTGCTAATTTTACATATGTTTTCTAGCTTCACTAAATTGTAAGTTGAAAAATTAAACTGAAAAGGCTGGGAACATAATTCATCGATGTCTCAAAAATACGATGTTTAAAACCAGAACATTAAGCGCCGGAACATTTCCATGGTTGGATGCATGGAGATCTATAAAATATGTCAACACTGAGGAAGTTGATCAAGAAAGTACATATAGGCGTTTTGAAAAGGAATCTTTGTAAACATCTAGAAATTTATGTGGAAATCAGTTTACTGAAAAATATAGTAAACCTAGTAGTGAAACTGTTAAGGATGTTTGAAATTCGAATATAGGATGTTTAAGGTTAACAAAAATGGATCTGCATAAAAACATTTCGAAAGTGACAGTACCATAAGTAAACATAAGCTTATAAAGTGTGTGACGTAGAGCTCAGATATTAAAATAGAAGGTATAACTGTTTTAGAAAAACAATAGGAAAGTATATATATATATATAT